TAGCAATTGCATATATGTAATGATTCTACTCTATTACGATTGAGCTAGCGAAGCGTATTCCTGTAACGTTTTTAATAGGGTTGTAAGTCAGCAACCGCTGGGCTGATTGACCTGCGTTACTCTTTGTTGCGTAATCCTATCCCTTCCATCTCGTTATTGAGTACAACTGATGTATCTTGGTGAGTTATTGACTACAACTGATGTATCATGGTGAGCGTCGTGACACGTGCGACGTGAAGGGCCAAGAGTGTTCGTTATTCTGCTGCAGTAGCGATTTTGGGTTGCTCATATATCTTGAACCCTGAACTGCCACGCCGAATGCGCTCAAATTTGGTACACTGTTTGGGTCTGGTTGATAGGGATGTGTTTTTTTTATAGCGCGCATGTGTTTTTTTTTATAGCGCGGAGAAAAAAGTAGGGATTGTTAGGGTTAAGCAGGGAGTCACCGATGTTAGATCCCTCTCTGGGTCTTTTCATAGGGGGTCACGGTCCTGACCCGAGACAGCTGAGCTGTGTCGCAGCCCTGACCTCAGACAGCTGAGCTGTGCACGCCGTCGGCTCGGCCGTCAGTCGCCACAGCCGCTGACGCCAGTGTACAAACAGCTCCAAACAATATCCGGCCCTGTATAGCAGGATAAGCCATCAGAGGCGGGAGTGATCACCGGGACGGGCTGCATGGTACAGGACGGGCTGGGAACACGTCAACTCCAGCATGACGTGTTCCCAGTGTACCTGCATGTAGTTTCTTTATTCCTCAGCAGTTGTCATCCCCTTGGCGTTAGTGTTTCGCGTCCCTCCATTGATCACTCCCGCCTCTGATGGCTTATCCTGCTATACAGGGCCGGATATTGTTTGGAGCTGTTTAGACACTGGCGTCAGCGGCTGTGGCGACTGACGGCCGAGCCGACGGCGTGCACAGCTCAGCTGTCTGAGGTCAGGGCTGCGACACAGCTCAGCTATCTCGGGTCAGGACCGTGACCTATGAAAGGACCCAGAGAGGGATCTAACATCGGTGACTCCCTGCTTAACCCAAACAATCCCCACTTTTTTGTCCGCGATATAAAAAACACATGCGGTTAGGCTACCTGTGTCGAATTAATTAAAGTTTATTATGTCAAAGTTTCAAAACATCAATCCGGTCTGCATGTCTGACTGCTCGCAGAACGGTTCTAGAGGCAGTGTCAGCTCGCGCGGAACGGTCCTCAGATGTGTCCACTTTCAAGCGCGGAACGGTCCTACTGCGCCACCAGACTCCTTTCCCTCTCCCCTCCCCCTGTCCGCTGGTCTATGTCAGACACCAGTACACCACTGACCTCCCCTACCCTCCCCTGACCTTCTCAGGTGCCAGCTGAGACGCTGGTCGGCCTACAGAACCTGCTCGTTCACCTGCGGGACGTCTCGGCAGAGAACGCGCACCTCTACCAGTACCGACTCTGGGACGCTAAGAGGGTCAAGGTGGAGACCGCCCAGAACAGGGTATGTAACACAGACCGTAACACAAACCGTAACGCAGGTCGTTACACAGGGCGTAAAATAGATTGAACACAGACCGTAACATAGATCGAACACAGACCGTAACACTGGCTGCGTACGTGCGGGCACTCGGCCGGCCGGAACTGGGCTGGACCCATTGGGCAATGAACAGGTGCTTTCTGTGACAGCGTCACCGCTGCAGGTCAGTCAGGGACACACGGATACTGCACCCGGCGCCCTTGTGCATGGTACAGGTCTCGCGGGTTTTAGCGGTAGGTTTTGCACCTAGAAAATTCAGTGTACTTCAGGCTATATCTTCGTCGTCTTAAGCTTTTAAGTGTTGAAGGTGCGATCGACTTGTTGGGTAACAAGCCGGCCATGATCGTGTAAAATGGCTTCATCGTAGATCGATTAGTTTCTGAGATATAACCGGAAATGTAAATGTGCAAAACCTACCGCTTAATCTCGCGAGACCTGTACCTGAGACCTGAGCGCGCCCATGTGTCGCCCCCAGGGCGTGTCGCCGGACGGTTCTGTGTGTCGGACTGAAACCTGAACCTGCCTGAGTGTTATACTATGACTCCCCAGGGCGTGTCGCCGGATGGGGCGGCCGGCTACCGGGACGGGCTGCGGCGGGCCACCAACGGCAACCCGCTCTCCGCCGAGGAGGTACAGAAGGTCGTCAGCCGGATGAACCAGCTCTCCAGCTAGCGGCGCAGAGGTCAGTCACCGCACCGGGCGTATTGCACGGGGACCCTAACAGACGCCTCACTCCTTTCCCTCATCTCAGTTGTTCTTTCATTTTTTTAAAAATAAATAATGGAGATAGACCAGAGCATTTTCGGTGCATTTATTAGGGTCATGTTACTCCAACGGGGTTGCGTTGTCGGCACAGTCCTGTCTGGTCTGTGTGCTGCGGCGATGCTCTGATATCCGGTGACCCAATGCCACTGTCCGCTGACCGAGTGTCGGCTCTCTGCTGACCGTGTGACGTCTGTCCGTCAGGGTGGTGGCCGTGAACGCCTGTCTGACGGCGCCGGAGGGCAGCGCCGGCCGGCTGCTGTCACTGCTGGACCAGCTGCGGCCGCCGGACGCCGGAGCGCTGCCCGACTGGGGTCTACATCCTGGTACGTTACTGGGAGCGGCACGGTGTGTGTTGGGTGCTTCTGACGGTCAGTTGTAGTAACTGTTAGTTCCTCTACTGGCCACCAGGTGAAAAGCGTAATAGCTGTACAGCAATGTAGATTTGCTTCAGCTTTGGCGTAAACTTTCTCCTCTTTCGCTCACCATTCACCACCAGAGTCAGCAGCGTCTCGGCTGGCGGTCCAGTCAGTCAGGGCGTGTGTCTTCACTCGCCACAGCTGGCCGGACCCATAGGGCAGCAGAGTTATCAGTTACCAAGCCTTGGCCTATAAAGAAAACCAGGAAATAGTAGCAACAAGCGACTTTGTCGCTTGCTTTGCGTCGCGAGGATATGGTTTGCGCATAATTGACCAGTTCGAGTAGTGGATGTTTCACGTCAGTGGGACATCTATAAGCAAAGATGTACTCGAAAATGTGAATTTATGGCCACTTGCTATTAATATGGCATAAGGTCAGTATATGGGTCAAGTTAGGTCCGTTGGATTATGTCAGGACGCGCTGAGTTGTGCCAGTTCACAGTGGTCACTGAAAGTCGGTAATCACAGGGGTTACCTTTGGCCACGCTGGAGCATGTCATATCAAATGGGTTATATGGGGTCAGGCCACCGTCACATCGGTTCGTGCCATGTCACAGGTGTTATATGTACTATGTCAAGCCAGATCGCAGGGTCTACCTCTGCCTGTGCCCGGTCAGTCCCTCACTGGGCGAGGCCTTATATTTATTTGATAATTAAGAAGTTTTAAGCGGGGCCCAAATGAATAATTGCAAATGTCACTGAAGAAGAACTTTACAGAGAAGGGCGGTGCAAGAACGCTTTGATACTTTTCTTTGCATTTTACCAATTCTATTTCGATTTCCCGACGTGACCGTTTTACACAGAAACATATATGCATAGACACAGACATGGTCAAGGACATTCAAGCGTTCAGCCGCCGATCACCGCAGCGGTGACGCAGCATGCTCCCTTGGCAGCTACAGAGACCCACCAGAACGCTATACTCGGATAATCTTTCTGCATATGCTCTCGTGAAGATAAAAGAAATATAGGTAGCCATTACGCTTGCGCTCTTCACCAAGAACGTCTGTCTCTTCGACGCAGCTGGGCGTCGTAGTGGTACCATTTATCACGGCCCACACCGTACACATCGGATACATAGTGACCTGAGTGTGTACCGCCACCGTAATTACTCACAATACCACCAGTATAGCGCCTTTTGGGGCGACTAACGGAGCGAGCGGGAGGGTGAGCCTTGCACGTGCGAAATTTCGAGGGGGTACCTCCAACTGACTTGTGCACGGCACCCTACTAACCGGTCTCTAGCGATGTGCCAAATTTGAGCACAATCGGCCCAGCCGTTTTCGAGATCTGGAAGCGGCACCCTGCACGTGCGCACGTGCAGAATGGGTCCTAACTGACTTGTGCACGGCACCCTACTAACTGGTCCCTAACCGTGTACCAAATTTGAGCGCCATCGGTCCAGCCGTTCTCGAGATCTGGAAACGACCCCTGCACGTGCGCACGTGCAGCAGCACCCCAACTCTGGCACATGGATATGCAGTGTCTAGTGGGTGCCTACCTACATGCCAACTTTCAGCGCAATCGGCCGAGTAGTTACCGAGATATTGCAACAATTATAAAACTGACACCTCTTCGTTTTGCGCGTGGCACGTGCATATGGGGTCACCCACATGCATAGGGAATAGTTCAATACTTGGTAGAAGGAATGAAGCTACCCTACAAAAATTACCCCGTGTAAATCGGTCAAGTGGTTGCTGAGATATAAGCCTCGCAAAAGCGTGACCACGGCCGGCCGGCCGGCCGCTCATACTCAGAAATTTCCGTTAATCTAAGGAAAGACTACGCTCGCTTCGCTCGCTCCGTAATTACGGTGGAACTTGCTCTCAGTTTGTTATCCGATGTCAAGTCTTATACGATTTTCAATGGATGGTTATTGTTACGCTCTCCCCAAACCACGTCTCTGGCAAAAATTGGGTTCAGGCGCTGATGTAGCATTATGCCGATGTTAAGACTCACAGACATATCAAGATTAATATATGACCAAGGACCTATTGTCATGTCATTCACAATTGTCCATGTATCAGATGTTCCTGGCTCAGTATTTATTAATAGGTGGTTTCCCCCTCAACCATCGTCTCGTATTTTACGTTTTTCTCAGCCCTCCTTTTTCGCTGTACATTTCGCTGTGTCTATTTCCGTGTTCCGATGTGAAATTTTCCATGATGGGCCCTTTTGTTTGTCCTCATAGATCCTATGTGTCGTGGATCGCGTTCATTTCCTCACCTGTCGAGTTCCAGAATTTGCTGTTCCTGTTCCCTCACGCCCATCGTCAAACCGCAAACCTCCAGAATAAAGAGATGTAGATAACGTGAAACTCCATATATGTGCGTGTCCACTTCGGCATTATGTTTATGCACTCACCTTCCACACTATTTACATGCAGCTGTGCAGCCTGTCTAAGTACGGCTAAGATACACGTGCATTTCATAGCAATACGTGCATGCAAATGTTATAGCTCAGCGTACATACACCATTGGCGGCTATGACACACACCTTTGGAGGACAGATGTATAAATACCGACAATTTTCTGTACTTTTACAACAAATGTGAATATCAAAGCTATAAAACATCACTTATCATACAAATATAAGAAACATCCAATAAAGAAGATATAAAAAGGTCGAGCAGACGGTGCTCACCGGCGGCAGACTCTGGCTGGCAGTGCCCCTCTAACGTAGGACCTCGGGGTAGACTACTTTGCGGGTCGTTGGCCCGCCGAACAGCTCTATGCCGCCAATGCTACCCACTCGGGACATTGCGACATAGAGCTGTCCGTGAGAGAACACGGGGTTCTTTAGGCAGACTCCCACACGCTTCTTCGTCTGGTCCTGGCTACGGCTGATCGTCATCCCGAAGGCCACGCTCACGGGGAACTGTAGCCTCCGGAATGAAAATCCCAAGCCAGAGTCAGCCGAAGACTCGAGTGGGAGTCGCGGAACAAAAATACTGTTGCCGCGGTCCGGTCCGGTGAGCACCGTCAGCTCCAACACGTTGTGCATCAGCGTCTTTACGACACAGAGGGTGCCGTTGACAGCCCGAGGTGCATCCAAATTCCTGATCAAAATGACCGGAGCGCCGGTCTTCAGACGAATTTTGTGGGCCGGCATTCCAGAAAGTTCGATGTTGTTTAGCACCTCGGTTGCCAGCGGCACCGCGTCAGGGTCGGCCATGGAGTCCACGCTTGTGTACTCCATCTCTGGTCCAGGCATACGCGCGATGACCAGGTCGTTGACCTTCTTTGCGTCGGAATTTAGGACGGTCAAAATGGCGCGCTCTTCGAGCCAGCCCAAGTTGGGCAAATTTTGGGCCAGATCGGGGTATATCCGGTCTATCAGCTCGTCCAGAGTCCGAGCCGGACTCAGGACGGCTGGCGGGAGCTGTACAGTGTCGGGTGTGCCTGGACACAGAGGGAGCCGACCCGAGCCAAGCTCGGCCAGGAACTGGGCGTACTGGCCCGCCCCCGCGTCGCCCTGGAGCTGCACCCGCATGTTGGTGTGCAGCTCCACACACACCACCTCTCGCCAGAGGGGCGACGCCTTCAGAGAGGCGGCCACTACCTGGTGGCGGGCAGCGCCGCGCACCACCGGCAAAATCTGGTGCCAGTCACCGGCAAAGAGCGTGAGCAGCCCCCCCAAACGGCCGGTCGCACCCCCGAATGTCCCGGAGGGTCCGATCGACCGCCTCCACTGCCCAGCGGTGGGACATGGCAGCCTCGTCCCACACCAGGAGGCGGCAGCGCTGGATGCTGTCGGCTGCCTCCGTCCTCTTGCGGATGTCGCAGGTGGATGTGGGAGTCAGTGAGACGGGGATCTTGAACCGGGAGTGGGCGGTGGTGCCGCCGTCCAGGAGGCTGGCGGCGACGCCTGTGGTAGCGACGGCAATGGCCTCGCCACCCTCGGCTCTGACGGTGGCCAGGAGGGTGTTCTCCAGGAAGGTTTTCCCGCACCCTGCGGATCAAGCAATAAGGCTATACTGTGGAATAGTGCTTTCAGCAAAGGACAGATAGCGATGCTTTAAAGGAAGTTGCAAAGTTGTATACGAAAATCAAAATGCGATATAGGGCAGTGTAAGAGAATGGTCTCCACCTTTTTGCTTGACGACAGTCAGCACAGGACACACCACGAACCGGAACCATCATTTGTTTTTCTTTGTATTTTTATATCCCCGTTCTTACATCAAACGCTTATGAATAAATCGGTGTTGACATTGCTACACGCTATTTGAGGAAGGGGAGAGCACTAAATTAACGCCATGAAATTTTCCAGCATTGATTAGCAGGACGTACGCAGTTTTCGGGCCGTCACGTTGGTGCTAGAGGTGTCAATTTCAGAAATTTCTTGTCCGATGTCCGTCCAATGTCCAAAATCCTAGCTCACTTTTGTCCGAAAAATGTCCAAGGCATGGATTTGTCCGAAAACTGTCCGAAAGCTGGATATGGAAAGAGAGGATGGGTGAATTGATCTATATTAGGTATATGTTATTATGTACCACATGATAACTAAATAACAGATATCCGCCATCTGGTTTTGAGTGCAAAATATTGGCAACTAAAAATGTTGAAGCAATATCATATGCAGTAGGGAATGGGCATTTGGGCAAAAGGCCTAATCTGATATACAACACAAACACAGCATATTGTGACAAGCCTATTCTTCTTTAAAATGTGCTACAGCCTACAACTGAAGCTGAGTAGGCAGGAATAATGCAAAACATTGCCTTATCCCTCAAACTTGTGTTCTCAAATATTGACTTCTTGCCGCATCCCTTTTTTGACACTAAGCCACTTGATGATGAATTAATACAGCAATAATGCAAGAAGCTAGTCACTTACAATAATGCATATCTTCATCTTATATCACACTGGCTGACATGTAAAGAAGAACACTTTTTGCAAAAGCAAAATAGTTCAAGTTCATGTAAGAAGAAAAATGTGAGATAGGTAGGTACATCTGGAATAGAGTTGCAAAATTTCCCTACCGCACTACCGGCATGCCGGTAATTTTTCACTACCGCAGGTTTTTTCGTGGTATTTGGCATATTCTGCCGGTAGCATGCCGGTATTTTTGATTTTGCACCAAAAAAAAAAAAAAAATATCAGCAAATGATTCAAACTTTGGACACTAAGAGGCTATTGAATTGTAATAACAGCAATCTTAGCCACTGCAAAATACATTTTGTGGTAGAAGTTCCATTGCTAAGGGTAATTGTACACATGAACCTCAGCATTTCACAGGTTTGGCTCTAATAAGAATTGTCAAGAATCTAGGTACTGTGGTCTATCAAAGGAAGAATACTCATTCATGTTGCAAAAGCACAACCAATTAGTAAGTCTAATGGTAGGTAATAGGTATAATGCAATAAAATAAATTAATGTTGATGGCAACATTCCCTAGGCAAAATGCAGAATCAAAACAACACAAAACACATTGTTTGGAAACTGGCCTTGAGTCCTGAGATGTGGTCTGAGATACTCTACAAAGAATTTGACACTGAAAATCCAGCTGAAAAGGCAGGTGTTAGGAAGCCCTGAGCCTAACTTCGGTCCCAAAATGAAATGAAAATGAATTAAACTGGCATTTTGTCTTATCTTTACAAGAAAACACAACATGCAGACCAAATGAATACAAAGTGGCGCAATATGATCAGCTGATCAAGCAACCAAGGATTGACTTTTAAGATCCTCTGTCCCCTAAAAAAAGGATGTAAGCTGATGACGTAATATTTATTCATATGCCCTTTTGGTTGAATTACTCAAGAGAAGTGGATTTTCTTGTAGTGAATAACACTCACAGTGTTGATTTTATTGGATTTTAATATCGTGTTGGATGATTTTTATCAAAAAAATCATTCACGAGGCAGTAGTTTGCAGTCCTAAAACTTTTTTTGCAGTGTTTTAATCAGCTGGTTAAAAACTGTGTTATGGCGCATATGTTTCGATCCTTTATAACCTTGTGTTTGTTCCTGCGTTTGAGATGGGAGAGGATATTATATCGTTTTTATACATATTATTTGGTGACTTCTCAGGACAAGTGAGTTATTAACACATATTTTTACATGATTCGTATCTTACTCACGAGCCAGCAAGCCATGGCGGATAGGAAAAAGCAGATGTTGATCTCGCTACCTCAGTTAGGAACATGGCTTAATCTGTAGTTTTTTTATATTGTGATTTATGACTAGCTATAGTTCATTTTAGGGTAATGTGGAAAATAAGAACGCTTGTGGTAAATGTGATTGCTGCTCACTGTGCAGTCTTCAGGAACACATTTCAGTAATTCAAGTTCTTTTTGACCTTGCTTTTTTGATGAATGTGTGTAGGCTTTTTGTAGGCAATACCTCTTTGATTCCAGGTGATATTTTAACAGCTGTAAACTGGAGTTGAGTTTCAAAATTGTGGTATTTGTGGGGCTAACTCAGCCAAAATCAGGCTGCTGGAGTTTTGGTTGGACAATGGGTGGCTGCTGGGTGGGGCGGTAACTGAAATTGCCAAAATGTGGCATCTCAGTAGGGGTAAGCCAGAATTAAGAATGCAGGTTTTTAAAGGAAGACTGCCACCTTCAAAAAGTTTTCTCAGATCGGCCCATGATTTTTTCCCTGGATAAAACGAAATTTTAGAATTCACCTGGCAAGCTATCATCACGTGAATCGCGTAAAAAATTATCGATTATCATAAATTATCAATCGGATAATGTCTAGCGACAATGTTGACACATCACTAGACTTCAAGGTCATAAGATATGGAAGCGGGTTTTGTCGCCATAAACGGCGCGCATGTTACAATTGAAATATACAATGATCCTTGCTTTGGTTATGTATGTCGTGTTTACGCTTTTGGAATTGCCTGTTTTAATGAGTTATGTTATCTATATCTTAAAATATTCCAATTCTGATTCATCTGATAGGTATATATATACATGTATTTTGGCATGTGATATTAAAAGCTAGACTATTTCCAGGTTTATATGAATAGTGATAGACTAAGTTGAGACAAGTGCTATTTGAATAACAAATACCTATGGTATTGGAAAAATTGTCATGAATCTGATAGTGTTTCCATTCCAGCACCAATTTCCCAGTCTTCAAAGTGTGGCAGGGAGCTCAATCCGTGACAAGATGTTTGGGACAGTCAAAACATTGCCCCAAGCGGAATGCCGAGACCTGGGCAACCCAATTCCTTTCATGAGGGCCCCTCATGAATATGATGAAAATGATATAATTATGAAGTGCATCATTTACTAAGTATGAGAAGCGAAATGAATCAATGCTGTGACAAGCTTTCAACTTCTGCCCCAGATTTCCTTGCTTCTGCCCCAAAATTCCTCAAACCTGCCACAACCTGTGGTGTGTGCCCTGACAACATATTGTCAAGACCTGCCACGTTTTGCAGACTGGCCCATTTCTGTATGCCTACCTTCCAGGTGAAGATGCCTGGTGAGCGAGGGAGAGGACGAGGACGGGTGAGGAGAGGAGGTGGTCGAGGGGCAAGAAGAATTCTCAACTTTTCACCCACCGCCCAGCCCGAGCCCCAAAGGTAAATAACTGAATGTTTCTTACGATGCGATGTGAAAGTATGAAACAATTGTTAATATTTATTTAATTGCCATGTGTGGCCTAGCCTTTATCTAGGTTGCTAGCCAATATATATTTTAAGGTGATTATTGCAATTAAAATTATCATGTACCTACCTTGAAAAGTCAGGTACACTACAAGCAGAAATAATACAACCTAATCTAACCTTACCTAACCTTACCTAATGTAAGATAATCTCACCTGACTCATTGTGTGGTTTGGTGGAAGTTATAAATGTTTTGTGAAAAAAAAAAATATGGTTAGTACACAAAACATTTCTAAGGATGTGTTCTTTCTAATCATGTTTTAATTTTGTGAGTCTCTTCATTTTCTAAAGAGTGCAAAAGGAGGTATTCAACTCTGCTCATGATAATTCAAAAGGAATTCTTAAATACAATGCACCCATAAATCACTGATTTTCACTTTGTGGTTCATCAGAAAACACATTCAACATCATTGTCTTTCTATAATGAAAGATGGCACTAAAACATGAACCACTTTTCTTTCAGAAAAGTGGTGCTAGGTGAACTTGATACAGGTGAACTTATTACTTAATACTTAGGACACATGTCTTGACACAAGTCTTGATCTTATCGTGGGAGGCGGCTCGGGTTGGAGATACACGTACACTGGTTATTAGGGAGACCATTAGGTACCATTAATGATTTTACATTGCTGTGCGATACGAGGTTGTACCTAGTGATGTTGCGTCATTTGTGGACTTCCCCCCTGCGAGTTGTCTGGTCCTAGGATTTCATGCACATCTTCCTTCACTTCAAACTGGGATTTACCGGTGACGTGTTTTCTCTGTGTGCGCCAGGTGTACCAGTGGAAGCTCCTGCACCACGTCTTTAAGGACCACCTTGTGATGCTGAACCCGGTGCACCTTTCCCTACAAGTGCACCGTCTGTACGGCCACATTCGCATATGTATACAAACAGTTCGAGAATGACGTCTACAGCCCTCACTCTGTCGTCGCCAAGAAGATTATGGAGTCGTTTGGCCGTAGGAAGGCAGCTGCGGCGGCGGCCGCCACCGGACAGCCCATCAAAATCAACAACGAGATCACAATTCACAATCATCCCTCACACGGGCTCGGGCGGTGCGGCAAAGGGCTCGTCTCAGGCCAGCTCGACGCCGGTGAAGCGGCGGCGACCGGAGTCGGCGCCGGCTCCCGTGGAGCGTGAGTGCGAGCTGTGCGAGCATCGCGCGCTGCCGTGGTGCAGCCGCGGCCGCTGACGGAGCACTACGCCTGCACCAGGGCCGGCCAGAGCTCGAGTTCACGCCGCTGATGCGCGACCCCAAGTGCGCCACCTTCGTCACAGAGGAGATCTGCGAGCAGCTGCGCCGGCGCGCCGCCGCCGAGGACTCCGACAGTGGGGTCGAGGTGGAGGTGAGCGACGCGAAGGACGGCGCGGCCGGCGGCGCCCCGTCCGCCTCCGGTGGCAGCGCGCTCAGCAAGCTCAACGAGGAGACTCACGCCTATTGCCGCGGCGCGGCCCCGCCGGCTGGTGACCGTCCGGAAACCCAAGCCGTTCATGGGTGACTGAGTGAAACGAATGGACGTGCATGTGCGTTTTTGTTCTGTGTATGCGTGCGTTTGGAAATGGCGTCTCTATGTGCGTGCTTGTTTTGTAGAAGCGCTAGCGGTGCCGACGGACCCAGCGATGGCGCGGAGGGCTTTGATGTACCGTGTGTCTTTGATGTTGATGCATTCTCGTGTTTTGTTGGTCGCGCGCCCAGCAGCACCGTGTACATAGCCGGGGGCGTTCCTGCTCGACGCCACGTTCTGTTCGTTGTATCTCAATGCCAGCTTTTTGCTCCAAGTCCCGCTCGTGGAACACGCGACTCGCTCGATTCAAATAATAAATATACACTTTATTTCTCTGACAACCTGATGTCCTCTCTCTCCTCTCTCCTCTCTCCATATAAAAAAATACGGCCACGGTGAGTAGGTGCCGGCCGGCGTTAACTGCCTCCGGCCGGACGGTTCTCAGTTGATATGTGACAACAGTTAGGAATGTAACACCGCCATAGTACCCTCCATCACTGCCGGGCGCGGCGGTCCCCGCACACAGGACCGGCGGGGGGGGGGGGGTAGCGACCGCCGCCAGCTGCTGGCCGCCCATCAGCTGCAACACCAGCTGCTGCAGATGGACAAGCTGCTGGCGGTCCTCGTTTAGCACGATCAGCTCCTGTTCGCGCGCCGCCGACACAGCGTTCACAGCGCCGCCGCCGATGAATTGCTGCAGCCGCGCGCGCAGCTCCTTTCGCTCTCTGATGAGACTGAGACTGAGCCAGCCAGAGCCAGAGTCGAGACTGAGCCAGCTGAGTCTTGACAGACCGGACAACACACAAGGCGCCAAAAACGAAGCAACATGATTGGTCGACACATCGAACCGTCTGTCACAGCGACTGTGCTTGGACCACGGCCATCCCGCAATAGTGACAAGACAAGGCATTATCCTGAACACGCGCAGAATCACGCCCAAAGTCAATCGACACACCAAGAAACGTAAAAACATGCAACGGAACGAGAACTAATTTATTGAAATTAATACACAACCCAACACTAGTCAGAAACGCAGCGATACCATTCAGCGTCCTTGGACATGAAAAGAAAATCATCTAAATACGCCAAACACCTGACGTTAAATCTCGACTCTACAAGTTCACTGAAAGCATCTGTTAGGTACTGCATCTCCGAAGGAGATGCAGTACCTAACTGCATCTCCTTCAGTACCTAATAATGCAGTACCTAATAATGGTACTGCATCTCTACCTAATAATGCAGGAGATGCAGTACCTAATAGGGCCCATTGGTAACAGAGAAAGGGTATAAGCACGTTTTACCATCATACAAAACACCAAAAGGACGTGTGGAACGTGCGCGAGAAATGTGATGAAATCCATCTTTTAAATCAATCTTGATACCGGTATAAACCCCAAAACGATAACTCTAACGCATCCCCAATAGACGGCAAAGAGCACGGCCGGCACGGCAAGAGGGGCGTAAGCACTGACAAATCGTATACCAGTCTGGCCACAGTCGCACTTTTTGGCACAGTAGCAGGCCAACTAAACAGCGACTCGCTCGCGACCGGTGCCGACGGCGATGAAGATTCGTCGTCACCAGCGTCCTCCCCAGGCGCGCTGCCGACGGGGCACGCCGCCACCGGCCCGCCAGCATCACCGTCGACCGATGATGTCTTCAAAGAAGAGCCGTTCCCCTCAGTGGCGGCAGCAGAAGAGACCGCAGGCGGCGGGGACCCGGAGCAGGGCACAGAGACGTTGCCCCCCGCCGCGCCTCAAACGCCGACCTAAGCCGGACGTCTCGGCGAGCCGGGCCCGCGGCGCGCGGCGGAGCGCGCAGGCTGGACGGCCAGGCGGGGCGCGGGCGTCGCCAGCTCCGCCGTCGGGTGAGCTCCGGAAATGATGATGGAGAATGATGGAAGGATGATGTCATGGAGCCGCGGATGCTGCTCCATGGCAGAAATCACCTCTGCAGCTGCGCCGTGCGGATGTTGGTGGCGAACGCCCCCTGGGCTCTGAGTCAGCTGGCTGGTGGCTTGCGCGCTCTGTGGGAGAGCAGGACAAGGTGTAAAATGCTGCTACGGGACACGTAAGCAGATGTAATACCTCTGCTCGAGCTACCACATGCAGATAAGACTAAAGTCTGTTCCATTTCAAGCCTGCAGCCGAAGTACCATGCTGTAAACAACACATGCTTTATGTGTGCATAGCTCCTACATTAACCCTCGCCCTGGCAGGACATTTTTCATAACACGGCCTGGCAGGGGGGGTGATGCGACCCCCCTCGCGATTGGCTCCTATGGCACCTAGAAACACCAAATTTGGTAGGTAGGTGGGCCCCCTGGAGTTCTCGCCCCTGCGCAAATTTGGTTGCTCTAGGTCAATATTTAGGGGGGTTTTGGGGGGTATAAATGTAAAAATTTTGCTGCAGTATGCTCGAGGCACGTCCATGGTCAAAATAATAGATAAAGCCCAATTTGAATAATTCTAGCAGAAAGACACCAGAATCACCCCTCAAGCAAAAAAGAAAAGGTTGTCATAAATAGGTTGCCAGTTCTCACCTGCTTCCACTCCACCGCCGTTTACCAGCTCGCAGCTGATGTCCATGCGGTGTTGACACCAGCGGCGCAGGTGACGTCGCCGACCTCTCCGGCACTGGCAGAGTCGACGCCACGGCCGTCGCTGGATGGTCCAGTGCCGCGGATGGTCCAGCTGGTGACGGCGTCACGGCCGTCGCTGGATGGTCCAGGGCCGCGGATGGTCCAGCTGGTGACGGCGTCAGGGGTTCCGCGGAACTCGCAGGTGACGTCGCCGTCGTCTCCGGCACTGGCAAAGTTGTTATACAATTAATATTAAGAGGTGCAGCATGACAGCTTTCAGCATGTCTGAAAAACGTGGCTGCCACGTTTTTCAGACTGAGTCAGGTCAACGGTCGCTGAATGGTGATTGACAAATACTAATTTTTTATAACTATTTATAATTATAAGCATTCATATTTAAATTATTTATTCCTAGTTTGGTCATAGCCCTGCTCACTTCAACTGTTTATTGGTCGATCAATATTTGGATTTGCGCCTAGTAGTTTCCCAGTCTGCAAAGCATTGCAATTTTGACAAAAGCTTGTCGGTGCAGGCTTGTTCAGCTGGTGCTGATCTGATGCGGCGTGGTGCGGATTTGGCTGGTAGGGTGCAGATCTAGTGTAGCCCAGTGTCCCAAGATTTGGGTGGAAAGTGAAATCCTTGTGAAATTGAATAGTCCACTCGGTCCACTCTCACCTTTAATTTTCCAGGACAAGTTGCCCTCCCAACTTTAACAACTAAGATCATCCGCATGTACATTTGCTGGCTGGCTTGTACCTACATTCAAATTCCATTAAATCATCGCAGCTCCCACATCCTGTAACATTCACATAGAAAATGGTGATCATGTTTTCATTCTTCTTTGTATCTTTCTGACTGGCAATTTTCCACTTTCAGTCCTCTTTGTAGTGAGGAATTTTACCCTCGAACACCCAAGCCAAAATATCCCTAATTTTGGGACACTGGTGTAGCACATTGCAGATTTGCTTGTTGATGGACATGACAGACCAGACAAGATATATGAGGAAAATTGAAAAACATTGCTGAAGCTGAAGCCATACTTTGCAGCCGTGCGCAGCCATGCTGCAAAGTATCGCTCGCATGTCGACGAAGGGCACTAGCCCAAGTTCACAATCCGCACCAACCCTTCAAAACCGGAAAATCCACCCCAATGTGGGCTGAGGGTAAAAGATCCGCACAGAACCCAAAAATGACCAGCAGTTGCACACTCATTGAAACCCAGGGGACACTGAATTACACATAAAAGCTCCAGCAATGTTTTTCGATTTGCCTCATCAATATCGTCTTGTCCGTCAAGTCCATCGCCAAGCCAAATCTGCACTGTGATCCACTAAATCCGCACACCAAGCGAAATCCGCACCACGCCGCAACAGCTGAACAAGCCCGCACCGACCAGATCTGGTCGAAATTGCCATACCTTGCAGACTGGCAGTTTCCAGCATGGGTAGTTTCCCCAAGTCAATTGTATAAATTTAAGTTTTGGCATGCTCATCCTCAATTGCATGATTAGGTATTCACTATGCCAGCATTTGTATTTATAACTTCAAGTTCAAAAAAGAGATAATCGATCTTTTTCCAAAACTAAGTGCACACCCGTTACTTGTTACTTGAGAGATTCCGGCACCGTTGTATATCAACTTACCACGATGAAAACCATTAAATATTAGCGCACAGAGACCGTAGAAATGAGGATGAAACCACTTTCAGCATCGCCTATGAATTAGCAATACATTTGACACGTGCCCCGAAAAAGTCTTCAATTTTATCGCGTCGTGTTTGAAACAGAGGTGGAAACATGCAGAACATGGTAGCAAACCAAAAATCCTTTACCACTTACCTTTGTCATAGGGTCTGCTCCCTTCACTAGTGTTGAAGAGATCGGACCTCAGGTCTTCCCTTTACCACTTCCCTTCAAGTAAAAAAAAGCATTGTCTTCTACCACAAATTTGCTAATTAACAATTTATCGCCTTTGAATTGAATATGTGTGAATAAGAAAAGATAAATGAAACCCTTTTGACGAGTTTTTCCTTAAAATTTGTATAAAATGCTCTTAATTAAAATCGACAAAGTTTTTCCTTTCCCTGAAATCCTTCACAATGCTAAGAGATCGGCCTTTCTTCATGCTAGTATACTAGGAAACCTTCAACATTAATTTGCTAAATGTACGTCTTTGCTGTTGAAATTAATATTGGTATTACGAAATTTGTCACAACATTCAAGAAAAATAACAATGAATCTCTATGATGCCAAAATGTAATGAAAAGTGTCATACATGCTATCGTAGTGATGAGCATTTTCACCGGCGAAAAAGATGGCATCAAATGGAACTTTGGGAGGCGATTGCGCGTTACAGGGTGAGGATAACGGAAAATGGACTGGACATCTGTGGTGAGGGCGGGCACCTCTTACGAAAACCGGTAAGTGAAAAAAAGGTGACAGTCTACCTTTAAGTATGCCGGTAATTTGGCGGTGTTTTTGCTTGGGGCGTGGTAGCATGCCGGTATCCCAGAAAATTTTTGTGGGGCGGGGCGGTGCCGGTAGCAGCACATAGGGAAAACTTTGTAACTCTAATCTGGAAGAAACGTGCTCTTCAGTGAGCCACACATCTCTGAATATCGAAACAAAATAAGCGATTACAAAAACGAAAATACTTGCTATGATTTAACACAAATTCACTGAAATTCACAAGCAAAAATTTGTAATCCTCGGTAGAAAGGAAAACACATTTCATGCTACCATTCTCGGTAGAATGGAACATGGTATCCGGCTTTGAGTCGATGATGTGAAAGTAAATCAATAATATGACGTCATTATCAGATAATTTGTCCTATTGAAGTGCATTTACCATTAGTTGTTTATTATAAATTCAATATGCATTGAAAAATATCATATTTTTTCGAAAATTATTCAATTGTTAAGCAAACTGACTGTATTTATTATTTTAGACGTCATTTTGTGTCTCCCCTGATTCTCATCCGGGGGCCATCTTTCCTTAGGTGACATTTATGACGCTTTCGCCGCATTTCATCATCTTTTGGTAATCAGTTTATTTGGATAGGCTATCGGCATTATGTAGCATTTATTGTATTTGATATTTCGGCACGGATATTTTTGGGGGGGAAGGGGTGGAAGGGGATGATTTATGATAGGAGGTTCTAGGTAAGACTCTTGTGCTACTTGGCACACCTTGATATTTGCAATTTTCTTCAGCCTCTTCTGTTAACTTTCAAGTGAGGCAAATCTATTTTTGGATTTCCTTCTTTACTGCTTTGGTGTCTAGTGCTTCCCACAGGTCAATGATTGTACCTACATCATATTCATAACTGTGTTATCTTATGATGGGCTTACTGACAACACTGTCACCTATTGGCTATTGCCATTCGTAAACACATTTTCAAATTTAGAGTTAAAAGTTGGCAAAGTATATGTAGGTATATATTTGACTCAGAACTACCTGCTACATGCAATTATGTTTATGTTCATCTTGCACTATAATTATTAATGATGTATGAACCACATATCCCCTGCCAATTTTGATGACATGTTTTGCAATTTGCATTTTGATAATGGAAATGAGTTTGAACTTTAACTTATTTAAGAAATTTGTTATTTTCAACTAGTTTTCCGAATATGTCCGAAGTGTTTGTCACTTGTCCGTCCGATTTCCGAATCGGAATTCGGAAATTTTCGGAATTCCAAAATTTTCGGTTCCGATTGACACCTCTAGTTGGTGCAGATTCATGCGTTCTATCAAGGCGTTCGGGTAGCCTTATATCAGTGTGTATAATTACTTTTGAATTCGATTGTCTACTTGAACTGTATGACATTAGCTGTCCTGATATTTATTTTTGGTAAGAGGCACACCAAAAATAAATCTCAGGACGATTTACTAATGAATCTGTTCACATTAGACTGCACTTCTACCAACTACCACCTTAAATTTTTGCAGTGAGCACCAAGCATTACGTTTGTTTGACATTGAAATAAAACACTGCAGGATGAAAATTATCTTCACATTTTATTGTTCTCCTTGGAAACGCTGTTAGCTGCAAATGAGTATCCGACGGCTGACGTCTGAAGAATGAAATGTGTGGGTAGACTGTTCCGCAATGCACACGTGTATGGCGGAACACGGCGAAAACGTAAAGCGGCAATATGCTTTCGGCACTGGTGGAACAATGAATTAATCTGCATGGGTAGTGTTTTGAATGGTGCAAAATGTAACTAACGATCAAAATGCAGCGACTGGGATTTAAGTGAAACCATATTTCATTCATACGGCTTAAAGTGCATGTTTCAATGTAAGTACGTTGTCCAGCAGTTAACTGTTTCACCAATGAAAGCGGTAGTTTCTTTCCGCTGTGGCCTGTGGAACTTACCTCCTGGCGCCTGGAGAAACATGAGTCCTCCCTCGCCGGTGGCCAGTCGTCGGCCGACCTCCTCGAACACGGCGCGCTGGTCGGGGGTCAGCAGCGGCACGTGCTCAGCCACCAGCTCCCGGTGCCGTGCTGCCGGGTCTGGCTGGTCCGGTGCGGCCTCGTCCTCCGGCGGCTCCTCAGCCGGTGCCTCCGGTGGTTGCGGCAGGCCGACGGTCGCCAGCGTGTGGCCACCGATGCGGAGGACATGTCCTCCGATCAGACGGAGCGCTTCGGTGTAGACGGGGTCATTTAGGCCGTCTCCGTCCTCGCCGTCGTCGCCGTCCTCGCCGTCGTCGCCGCCGTCGCCGCCGTCGCCGCCGCCGTCCATCCGCCGTCCATGTCTCTGAAGCCGCCGTCGCACGTCCTCAGACATGGCGGCCCGGTAGGTGCGCCACAGCAGCCGCAGGTCGCAGGTGGCGCGGCCCTCGATGGCGATGAGGGCGAACAGGCGCCGCAGCTGCCGGGGGAAGCAGATGACGGCCGCCTCCGCCATGGCCCGGTGCCAGTGCTGGCCGTCTTCCAGCAGGCCCAGCGCCGAGCAGGCCTCCTGAAAGGTGGCGCAAAGGCGGCCGTCCACTGTCCGTAGATCCGCGTAGGACCGTGGCCCAGGCACCTGGTGAAGCAGCACGCGCATGAAGAAGGCCTCTCCAGCGCGCGGGCTCACGCTGAACACGCGACCAATGGCCTGAGCGACAAAGATGCCGGCTGCCTCTGGGTGAGGTGCACCTCGTCGCCGCCGCCGCCAGCTGCGCGTCGGCTGCTGCCAGGTGAAGTAGCGCGGCACCTGGTGGTACAGCAGAGTGGCCGCGAACTCATCTTCAGCACAGAGCTTGAAGAAGCTGGTTAGCTTGGTGTCCGCCCCGCGCTGCACCACCTCGTCCAGCCTGTCGCCGGCGGCGAAGCGCAGCGGCTGGTCCTCGCCGCCCAGATGCACCGGCAGCTGCTCCACCGTCGGCGCGTGGTCGTGGACCGGGTAGGCCAGCAGACGCCAGGCCGCCTCCATGGCGCTGAGGTAGCGACTCCGCTGGTAGGTGGCGATCTCGTCCACCACTTCCTCCCCATCCGCAACCCTGAACATCACCTGATCGGCGCCCTTAGTGACATATTTGATCACATATTTTATGCACGTGAAGGCGTGAGTTATTATTTCGACATTCACGTGGCAGTCCAGGGCGCGGCTGAGGAGGGGGTTATAGGGGACGACCCAGCGGTTGTCAATGACAACCTGGCGGCCCTGCCTGTCGAGCACGACGGTGCGTCCACCGTCCGCTGGGCTCCGGCGGCGGTACTGGGGGTACCCATTGTCGGTCACCGCGGTGACAGCGGCGAACGACTTGGGGTACCGTTTGCTGCACACGCCGTCCGTCATGCAGGAGGCTGCCGGCCGGTGGGCGCCGCACGGGCCGTGCACCATCTTGATGGTCACGGTGGCGTGCAGCTCTGGCTCCGCCACCGGGTCGGGGATCTCGGCCGACACGAACTGGTCGATTGTGTCCGGCCGCGGCTTATCTTCGGGGTCGAGCCAGAGAATAATGTGCGCGTGTGGCAGGCCGCGCTTCTGCCACTCGATGGCGCACACGTAGGCTCGGACGTGTCCAAACACTGCCCCCTGCTGCAGCAGATGGATGAGGCCGCGGATCTTCTGGCGGAACACCTGGGAGACGATCTCCGGGTGGTCTGGAGACCGCTGCCCAGGGTAGAGACGGTGGAGGGTCTCTGTTACTTCCGGCCAGAGCGGGTTGCAGGTGGCGGTGATGAACAGGTCGCCGCCGCCGAACTCGCGCACGTACGCCAGCGCGTCGTTCAACTTTTCCACCATGTAGCGTTTGCCGCCGGTGAACGACGCCGGCAGCACGATACGTCCGACGGCGGCTCCCTGGACGTCGCCGGCGTGGATGGCGTCCGTCAGGCCGCGCACTGTGTCGGCCCGGAGAGCGTCCTGGTTGTGGCGCAGATAGCAGAGCCGGTCCGACTCCACCTTGGCGAAGGCGTCGACCAACAGCTGCTGGAAGAGCATGTAGCCCCTGGAGATGAGGTTGAAGTGGCCGGGCCGGTACCGCAGGTGAAAGGCGTAGTACTGCCCGGCCGTGACGCCGAGCTGGCGCTTCATCTCCAGGGACCAGCCGTCGGTGCCGTGCGGATGGAGCAGCACGTAGTGGAGCGGATCGTAGCTGCGGTGGTTTTCGCTGATCCGCTCCAGGTGGCCGTCGCGACGGTGCAGGACGATATCCCGCTGCCCGTGCGGTTCCTCGGGCAGCAAGAGCGCGACCTCGCCGGTCTCGGGCAGATTGAAGCGCCGCTCGTGTTCGTTGGCCGGCCGCCGCCTAGCGCTAAACACGATCTTGATGTCGTTCTGCTCGGGCGGCAGCAGCTCCATCGCCGAGCGCAGGCCGAGGACGTACACGTTGGTGGCGTGTAACATCTCCTGGAGCTGCTGCAGCACGGCCGGCTCCAGGTCGACAAAGACGTTCCGCCGCGCCTCCAACGCCTGGTCGTAAAAGTACACCTGCATGTACTGAGGAGGCTGGTCGCCCTCAGCCGGGAGCAGGCTACCGATCCGGTGGCAGACGTTGCCGTGGACCGTGAAGGTCGGGTTCCATCCCGGCTGACGGACCTGCTCGCAGCCCATGCTGGCCAGCTGGAAGGCGCGGTTGTAGGCCCTGATGTTGTGGGTGAAGTGCCGATGGTATGGCGAGTCGGGAGACAGGAGCTGGCACAGAGCTGGCGGAGGCGGCGGATGAAATGGCAGAGCCACCTTGCCGGCGTGGCAGCAGGCGCCGGGCGACTCCTGCCGCCAGCGGAGCGCACCGCAGTGGGCACAGATGACGTCCATCTGGCCCAGCTGCAGCCGAGGTGGTGCCACGTAGACCTCGCGGCTGTAGTGCAGAGCCAGCTTGTGCGGCGCGCGCCGACGCAGCTCTTCTCGTTGAAGACGCTGCCGCTCGGCGTCCGCTGCCAGCAGTGCAGCGCGGTCCTCCCGCTGTCTGGCGGCGGCATGTCGTGCAGCATCTTCAGCCAGGCGCTGCTGGCGTTCCGGAGTCGGCTCCCGGTCCCGAGCGGCGGCATGTCGTGCAGCGTCTTCAGCCAGGCGCTGCTGGCGGTCCGGAGTAGTCTCTCGAGCTCGGGCGGCAGCTTGGCGAGCAGCATTTTCTTGGAGGCGCTCCTGACGCTCTCCCTCGGTCTCCAAAGCTCGGGCAGCTCGTTTCCTCGCAGCGTCTCCAGAATAATCACGGGGGGGGGGGGGTTCCTGGATGGAGTGTGGACTTCACTGCCGTCCTGAAAAGAAGAAAAACGAAAAGGTTGTTCATATGAACAGAATCGGCAATTAAAGTCATCACATATATACACTGGGTTACTTTGTTGTTTGGTTGAAACTGGGAGCATCGCCCCCTGAACCAATGAAGTAAAAATCAAAATTCCAAATCCGTCTTTGGCAGCGTGATGTTAACTGGTTAAGGGTTGGGGAGAAGGTTGTCGCCTTTTTCGATTATTAAAAAAAAAAAAATGGGTGCAGAGGGTACCTGATATTGCTCTTTTCATATGTTACTAACCAACTTTGACAAATATTAATCAACGCCGTAGCTTTTTGTATGAAAAGTTCGTACATTGCAATTGTACACAAACCTAACAAACATTTTGTACTTTTACTTACAGTTACACGTTAATTAACCCTCGCCGGCACAAGGGGGTTGATGCAAGAGGGTTGATGCAACCCCCCGAAGGTTGTTGGCGAATAACTCGCGTAAAAAGCGGCCGATCGCGACGAAATTTTCAGTACCCTCGCATTCATCAATTTTACACCTTCCCTGAAAATTTCATGATCCTGTCCCAAATGAACTTTGATTGTGAGACTCTCGATCATACTACAAGTAGTTACCGAGATATTGCAACAATTACAAAACTGACACCTCTTCGTTTTGCACGTGGCACGTGTATAAGGGGTCACCCACATGCATCGGGAATAGTCCAATACTTGGTAGAAGGAATGAAGCTACCCTACAAAAATTACCGCATGTAAATCGGTCAAGTGGTTGCTGAGATATAAGCCTCGCAAAAGCGTCCGCACGGCCGGCCGGCCGGCCGGCCGCTCATACTCAGAAATTTCCGTTAATCTAAGGAAAGACTACGCTCGCTTCGCTCGCTCCGTAATAAGATCCTGTAAGTTTCATCTCCCTATGAAAGCTCTGCACTGAGGGTGTTGCGAAGTTGGAACATTTTAGGAGTGTGCACACAATCCTAAAATGTTGAGGACAGTTTAGGACAGTTTCACACAGTTCATTTTAGGACTGCTCATTTATGACGTCATAGATCAGTGACCTGACTTGACTTAAAAATGCGGTTGACGTAAAAAAATCCGACTTATCAAATCCCGACTAAAAAAATCGACTTATAATCCGGTTTATCAAATCCCGACCATGTTTTTACCTGGCCATTAAAGGGACCCTCCCACCTTCAAAAAAGTTAATGAATTGGCATAAAAGTGATGTAGCGTGAATCACAAAGAGCGAAAATGAACATCTACCAAATTTTACCGGAAAATATTCACCCGTTTTCGAGATATAAGACTTTTATTTTTGTTTACTTTTTGGGAAATTCGCTGTTTCTATGACGTCACATAAAGGTTTTCTTTACGTCGGCATTTGGAAGCAATAGTTTGGTATCAAAGTGCGACAAATATTGCGCGAATGATGCGTTTATCTTATCAAGGTCAATATATGATGGCCAATGATTCCAGGACAATTCTTATGGCATTTCTTCGTATCGCAATTCTTCGTCTGCAAATCTTCGTCAGGGCATTTATTCGTACCTATCGCATTACTTTGTCTCGCACCAGGGTATATGAAAATCGGCTCGCATTTCTTCTTCAACGCAAATATATGCAAGAGTAAGCATTGAGGGACAAATAAATGCACCGACGAAGATTTGTAGACGAAGAAATGCGGACGAAAAATTGTGCTACGAAGAAATGTCATGCGAGGATTCGTTCGGGTACCATGACATTTATGTGATTTCAAAGTCAAGGTTCACAGCTGATCTGCTAAATCAAGCCAAGAATCCAAACTATCAAAAAACTATAAATATTTGTTTGTCTGTCACAGAGGTCTCAAGCAATATAAGGTTGACATGTTGAATCAAAAATCTACTGCCACAACTCACATCTCCTGCCTTAGTTTATCATTGTTGTTTTAACTTGTTTTCAAGAGAAACAGAAGCCAGTATCTGATATCACTTCAGATGATTGTTTCAAGATCTGAGTTCAAATGGAAATAAAAGCAAGATCAAGATGAAACAGGGATTATTGCTGTTAAAGTAGTTTGGCCATGATACAACAAGCACATAAATCATTAGCCAAATCAAATACTGGCTGGTTTGTCAAGATGTTTGTTGTCTGTCGTCTGTCGAGCTGCTATGAACACTGAACGCTCTCACTCTTACTTTAAAGAGAGTAGTTTAAGTTGAATGGTAGTGAGCTGTAATTAGACAAAGCAGCTATTCAGTGCTCACATCAAGCCAGGCTAGGGAATGGCATCAACTGTGGTGGGAGGAAGCAGGTTCGGCAGCCCTATGTTGTAAACTTCTGTTATGTCTTGTGTTTGATCAACTGATGTTTTCTGCTCTGTTTTGTGCAGTGATAGTAGCAGGTAACTGCATGCTTGTCAAATTATGTGAATAAACGAATTCATAACATTGCATTTTTCTCTCCATGCAAGGAACAAGTAAGATGTTGTAGAAAATGTAATAGAGGGCTGCATTGCTGATTTTGCACTTTATCAGAGCTTTATTTAGAATTGCTTTCCTGAAAGCTACACACAGGCCACAGTGCTGAAATTCACAATGTCATAGCTTTTGGCAGAAAAAAGAAAAGACTTACATAGGTAAAATTGGCTGAAAGTATGGCAGAGCAGGTCTTGATGCGTATGCCCATCCGTGTGCTTGCCGAAGCCGAACTGACTGCAACACATTTAACTCTGACCCACCATGGTGGCTGGCATATCCTGAACTTTCACCACTCTAAACAAGACAACTTTCAGCCCTCAGCATTGTATTAAAACACTGTACAAAACACTCAAAATTTGTTTCAGTGCCATCCACGGACAACATCAGTCGCCATTCACCAGGCCAGTAAAAACAGAATAGATAATAGCTTCAAACCCATGTAGTCAGAGTTACTAGGTCTGCACCTCAAAACAAAATCCAGGTGACATTCACCACGCCAGTAAAAAACAGGTACTTAGGTAACGTAACAGCTTCAAATCTGGTAACGTGTTGGTCGGACTTTACACTACCATATTTACATGGAATAATATGATACTAAACAATAGTGCAACCATTCTGGACAACAATAGTGTATGATAAAATTAATTTAGAATACTCTGGCAGCATGATTTACGAGCACAGGCAGGTGTTACCTACCAGCCTTCTCAATGCTCGTAAAACCAACATTGTAGTTTTGATTTTACCTTACATGATAACACTTGGCTGCAATGGCACATTTAATTTAATACTGTGAAAAGACCAGTTATAACCACTTCACAAGCACAATTGCACCTCATGCCGACATCCTTTTCCAAAGACAGTCAGCAGCGTCTTTCGTCAAAACTGGAAGATAAATCCCCTTTCAACTGTTAACATCAAAAATATTTCTTCATGGTGTGACTGTGATCTCCATATGGAAACCTTGCAGGAAAAGAATTAATGTCAATTGTCAGCTCTTCAAATTTCTTTGGACTTTAACTTGCAGTACCATACCTATCCAGTTTGCTTTGATATTTTGTTTTTTATTCCATGTTGAAGTTGAACACCAAGCTCCAGATATAGCAGGCAGCTTGATCATCTTCGGCCTTGGTATAATATCAGTCCAAGTTCCAGTGGTGGGTATCTTCTAATATTCAAATTAAAATGAAAAGCAATAGGCTTTCTCAGCGCCGACGACGGATTTCACGTTGATAAAAAAGGGAGCTCAAGGTCAGCAAAACTCGGGTTCAAGGAATGGCGGGCGTTGAAATGACTGCTGACGTCATCAAAAAACCGCTAATGGTTAAGAGATAGGGACTAAGCTGGTCCCACCCTGCAAGTAAAGGGAAGAAATTTCTTGAACACCATAAAGCTGCGGGGGTTGCGACCAGGAAAAATGATGGTTTCTGAGCCTGGCCGCAAACTTGGCTATCTCAACTCAAAACTAATGTTAAGGTGGGATGGTCCCTTTAATGTTCTAACCTTACAGGTGATTGTTTGAACGCGGAAGATGCTGAATCTTGGTTAACCCCATACTTATCGTATGATAAAGAACGTCAGTGTTAGAAAGTTAATTAACAATTTTATTTAGGATAGTTTAATTCAAGTGGGTATAATCCGACTTGACAATTTACTAGGAGGGTTTTGCAGCGCTATTAGTTCGGCATTTAATTAAAAATCATTGCTAACTTCGATCCGGATATCGTTATTCAATGCTGGCCTTTGCGTCCTCAGAAAGTCGTTTATAGTCATGAAGGCTTGCATTGACCCATACTTTCCATTTTTCAGCACTATTATTCGCCGTAGTTGACCAGGTGTTTTCTTCATCTCTCCCCTGAATCCTTGGCTTAGACCTGGCGTATCACCCGTGCATCGCAAGACGCACCTACCACACACAAGTTCATGATCCCCACGAACCCACATCAGCGTCCGTTCGCTTGGTGTGTGACCCCTTGACCTTTGGCCGCGACAACTGCCAGCTTGCTGGAGCACCCCTCCCTACACGCGCTGCCCCGCCCGCTCCCCTCCCTCCCCCCCCCCCCCGGGGTCGTGTCACGAAGGTTCGGGCTTACGCTACTACCGGCCGCTGCGCAGCTGTCACCTAGCGCCTGGGAATGTGTGGTCTGGAGCGGATTCAGCCAACTACGGCTCGCGACACCAGCGCCACGTAGTGGCGACGGTACATTCTTTTTAGACACACTGTACCTACTACGCGATGTGCGGACACACAGACAGACGGATTCTGTTCGAATAGTAAGTTAGATTGCATATATGTAATGATTCTACTCTATTACGATTGAGCTAGCGAAGCGTATTCCTGTAACGTTTTTAACCCGCGCCCCGTAGGGGGGGGGGGGGCCGAAACGGCCCCCCCTGTCCTTTTCGGTCGATATCTCCTAAACGGCTGGAGATATCGCCACCAAACTTTCAGGACCCCTCCGGGCATCAATTTTACACATTGTGACCAAAAATTTTACCAGAGGCTATGATAGGTTGGCCACAAATGACGTC